TCAAGATGAACCAAACACAATATATTTTAAATAGATTTATATCATTCAAAGGATATTAATCCATATAAGTAGCAACCTATAATCCAAACTACTTCTACTATCTTTATCAGTCGTTTCAAAAAAATAACTATAAATTACCTCAATCACCTACTCCTAAACAACAACAATCTAATTCATCTTTTTCCAAACCTCATATGCTATTTCCTAACTTCCAAATAGATCTTACACCTTCTGCAATTGTTGCACATTTTTAACACTATCACATATATCTCTTATATAGATCTAAAAATATTCCTTGTGTAGTAACAGAACAATGTAGTCATGCCTCTGACTACACAATCTGTACGATCTTCAAACAAAATCTAATCCACAGACTTTGTGTCCCTCATCTATTAGATATTAAACTTAAACCTTTAGTTCAAACCTCTTCTCTTACATTTCAACAGCAAATAGTTATAGCTTTAATTAAATCTAAACTAATTAGTTTAAATCATATGCACGCATTTTTGGAATTAGTATATTATTTTGATGCACCCTAAAATTTAAATTGTAAAACATGCAAGGAGCATCAGCTAGTTGATGCAAATGTCTGTAATTAGTGGTCGGCTAAAGCAGAGCGAGTTTTATAGTTACTTTTTTGATGCAATTAGTGTTAGTAGGTTATATAGAATATTAAGAATGTAATTTATGCAGTGTGTAGATTATATATTAAATTAACTCCGCTTTAGTCGACCTCTGTAATTAACATTTCTTTCAATACAGCAATAGACCAATAATCTTTCGGACCTTTAATAGTTTCTATTTCATGTACTGTATTTTCCCAGTACTCCATACTATTATATTAAAAGAGGTACATTTAGAGAAGTCTGATTGTATATACTGAACATTCAAAACTCACACCATTATTGGAATGCTATACTCAGTTTTTACATTGTGACTATGTAAATTTGCCTGTTTAAAGGTATAAAGATAGTGATTACCTAAAGTTACATTTGTACTAAAACGTGTGTTGTTCTCTAGTTAGCCATGACACTATTAGTGTTAGTTTTTTTTGGTTCATATGCAGTAATAAACTAATTATCAGAACTATATGATTTATAGGGATGGTAAAAAATCAACGATTTAAATCTATCACTTTATTACATATTATATTTAGAAAAGTAAATATTGGATACCCGAATAATGTAGATGTAACAGTCATTTGAACCTTAATTATATATCATTAAATGTATTTTGTATATTTATACAAAGTGAAATGTATATAATTTATAAAGCATGAAAATTTAATATAATTTCCAAGCTTATCTGGACAAATATTTACTATTTTGATATACATGTTAATATATCATTAGTAATTGATCTAAATGATATGCCTATATAATAAATGAACCTTAACAATTAAAAAATTCCAATAATTTGATAAGGCCATATAAAATTAGTTTATTGGTTTTTATAACATGAAAATTTAAACTTCAAAATTTTCAAAAAAATCCATCTGGCCATTAAATAATATAAAAAAAGATCTTTTAAAGTTTCAAATTTGACATGTTCGGGTAATAAAAATCGACAAATTAATTTTGTATGATGAATAAAAAAGTTAGAGAATATACTACTAATCACAAATACTTATGAAAATAACCATAACACGGAAACAGTTTGACAATATGTTAATCTGAAGCAGTAGTATTTAAATCCAAGTATATAAGTCAAGTATCCTCGAATATCACATTTTAGAAGGAGGCAGGATGAATGGAATTGTTGCCTTTTGACAAATATTTGAAAATAAGTAAATGCTTCATGTTCATCTTTTTTAACTTTGGATCCATTTTCATAACAGCGATCAGCTATATTCACTCTAAGAACATAACCCATTTCAGCAGATTTTTAAAAATGAATGAATGTTTTATTTTTATTCTTTTCAGCCCTATATTTATCTTTATAATAAACACTAGCTTGAAATGTTCTATTAGAATCTTTTATATCAGCAGATTTTTAGTAATAAATAAATAGTTTGCGCTCGTCTTTTTTAAACTCGACTAGATTAGTTTGTGAGATAATGAAAAAATAAATTAATATTTTTAGAAACACGATAATAAATAAATAGTAAAAATAATAATACCATACCATTTGACACTTTTTTCATTTGTATAATAAAATTATTACTGCTCCAAGTCGAAGGAGACCTATTGATCCAGATTACTCTTCATTTCTATTAAGAGAATGCAAACACAAATCGAATAAATATACATGCTAATTAAATGTGTAGTAATACTGAACTGGTAAATCTACTTTTGTAAAGTAACATGTTAAGTTAATGCCTTTGAATCCAAAAAAATGAGTATGCATCTTGATAAAAGGTTGTAAATAACAAAATATTATACATATATGAAATCTTCACTAAAAAAAATCCAGATCTTAGATGATGGATTATATGATTTAAATCTAGTAAAGATTCCATATAACTTGTTACATGGATAAGGAATCCGGATGCAATCATTATATCATAATGTACTGCTTTAATACGGGCCTAGAGGTAAGATTCGTTTATCTATTCATATAAATGGATTTTATCCATATCTGTTTTATTCGCTGTGACTAAATCTGACAGATAATCAGATGAACAAATTATTATTGAACCTAATATTCATATCCTACCTTTTTTTTTTTTGAGGTATGATATAAAAACAATAAGTTAAATTAAAACTGTCAATGACAATCTAAAAGCATGATCATAAATTGCATGAGATAATACGATTCAATTATCCACAACTTAAATTTTATTTGGATAATTATTAAAATTCATATTATCCAGTCGTTCAGTTCTATCTCTATTCGGGTCTTATCAAAAAATGGTATATCTAACATAATCCTTATGATTTTTTTCTCAAAGTGTTTTATAGAGAGAATTAAAGACAGTGCATTACAGTACATTGGTTAATGAACATTAATGAAACTTACTTGTTGACAATTTTTTAGTGAAAATTTGTTCAGATAAAAAAATATGCTAAAATCTTTGGTCCTATATGCTGCAAAAGAGTTTAGTTTAATCTTTCTACTTCAAAAGCCATAATATTTCAATATATCATACTTATGGCATTTTGCTATATTATCGCTACTTTTTTTTTTACCACTGATGTCGAATTTAGTAGTTTATCGCCTTAACATAATTTAAAATAAAGATGTCAAATTTTACATAAAAGAGAATATGGTTGCTACTTATATGGATTAATATCCTTTGAATGATATAAATCTATTTAAAATATATTGTGTTTGGTTCATCTTGATAAGGTGTAAGAAATAAGTCAAATCATTTTTTTGTCTGAACTATGAAAAAAGTAAGATCGGTTTCTTGATCTTTTATAAGCTCATAAAGTGTATAAAAATCTCTCTATAATGATTAATTAATTAATATAGTTTGTTCTTTATCAATAATGACTTATGAGGTTAACCTATTTTATAGGAAAAAGAGGATGGCATGTCACTTAAATGTAGCACAAATGCAGTCAAGAACCTTTAACTATAGCTTAGTCAAATAAATAATTTACTTACATTTTATCTTGTCTGCACTTAACACAAAAAAATAATAACGATAAATAAAAAAATGATTTCTACAATTTTGTAGTTGATTGATTATCTACAAATATTGAGATATTATGTAATATAATTTTATTATCCTTAAGGATATTATGTAATATCTAAGACCCCTTAACTTAAAAAATAAGGCTTCTTTCAGATTTGCTATATCCTCTAAATTTAATATCTAAAAATCTAATTGAGCTAAAAAAAAAAAAGCAAAACATTTCTCTGCAATATTATAGTTAAATTTGAGAATTTAAATAAAGGCTCAATTCCACAAATCCGCCATAATGAAGCATCTAAAACCACAGACACTTTTTTAACACTAACACTCTTCTAATACTAACACTTTCCTAACATTAACTCAAATACTTAACCAAAACCTTAAAAAAAGTCTAAAAAAAAGGCACCCTAAAATTTTACCGTAATTGAATTAAAATCTATTTTAATTTGAAATTTATGTGTTAACGATAAGCTTAAAATAATCACGATGTCTCTTAACCAAAATAAATATCCTGAGAATAATCCTTTTATGTTTAAACAAAGCAACACTAATTATAATTACCATATTATTAATAAAGGATTTTATCCATCAAATAGTAAAATATACTATACTTCGGCACGTTCTCATAGTGGAACTAAATACAAAATTCCAGATAATTATTTAGTTCAAACTAGCTGGGGCAGAGGAAAATCACAGCATATAATAGAGTATGAAATTGAATATGATTCGGATGGGCCAGTTTTTAGGATTAGGTTTAATGAAAATTCTCAACACTATGTAATAGAATCAAAAGAGTCTTCAACTGCTGTTGCCAATAATTATTTACAAGTCAATATATATTTTTTTTTAAATGAATATTTTGTATAATTTTTATCAATATAAAAATATGTTTTAATTTTTATTAATGTAGAAAAAAAATCCTAATACAAATGCAAAACTTTCTGGCATATATGTATTTGGTCTTAATGCCATAGACATAGAGCAAGAACGTGAAAGAAAAAATAACTGATCCAATTCTTTTAAACCATTTAACACATTAAGCGAATCTATGAAGACAAAACATTCTCGTAGATTTTCTATACAAATTGGTGAAGCTTTGAAAATAAAATTCCCAAATTTTACAAATCATTTGATCAACCAGTTTTACAAGAAGTCCAGTTCTATGTTCAAATAAAAATTATTTAGCTTATTATCAGAACAAAGATCAAGAAAAAGAAAATTAATCTTTAGATGCATTTTTAAAAGTTATCGACCAAGGTCCAATTTCTCAAAATGCCTACCGAAACCTAGCTGCACTCTAACCAGAGTTACCACGAGATTACAAATCTCAAATACAAAAAAAAAAATAAATAAAGAAATAAATAAAAAAATTCCTATTAGTATTTTAAATATTAAGGATATATCTCTTACAACAACCAACGAAACACCTCATATAAGTAATCAGGACATTGAAGAAGAGATTTCACAATATATATGCAAAGCAGACTATAGACGAGTTAATGACATTTTGCTCTTCATAATTCCAGACATTGTGGCTCGAAATGTTCTTAATGTAAATAATCCAGTAATCAATGTTCACATATCAGGTGATGGATGCAATGTAGGTAGAAAAATCAAACATGTAATGATTACCTGTACAATTTTGGATGACATTTCAAATATTCATAAAGCTGATTTACACTATACAATAATTCTATATCTGGGAGGAGAAAACTATGAAATGTTACAAAAAGTAATGGAACTGATGATCAGTGAATTACATAATTTGATAACCAATGGATTAGATTCTAACAGAATAAAATAGAAAATTAAACTATATTTTAGTAGCGATTGGAAATTTATGGCTATAATGTTAGGATTTAATGCACCAAATGCTACCTATTTTTGTCCTTGGTGCTTATGTACAAAAAAAGAAATTGGCAACAAAGATAAGATGTATAAGATCGAAAAAAATATAAATCAACTTAAGTCAGAATTTTTTAATGATCGTATTTCACAAACTTTAAATCTACCACCACTTGGACATCTTAAAGTTCCTCTTCTTCCTATGATTTCTCTGAATCATTATGTACCTGACGAACTACATATAATGTTGAGAATCTGGGATCGCCTTTGGGAATTAGTAATTCAAGAATTAAAATCAGAAAATAGATTCGATAATCATGTTAGGGCAATTATCAATGTGGAAATGCAAAAGATTTCAGTTGGTTTCCATTTCTGGTAAGATTATACGCAAAGTTGGCATTATACATCTTTGATGAGAGATGATAAAGAAAAGGTCTTATGTGATTTTAATTTTGAGGTCATTTTTGATGAAGAACAAGCTATATTAATTAATCATTTGTGGAGAGATTTTTACACACTTTACAAGCTTATAAAAGATCGAGAAACTGATCCTACTTTTTTCATAGTTCAGGCAAAAAAATGGCTTGACTTATTTCTTACACCTTATCAAGGTGAACCAAACACAATATATTTTAAAAAAGGACTCTATTGTCCAAAAGATGTTACTCCATATATACATGTTTTAATTCATCATATCTTTGAATTTATGAAGTATCATCAGCATTTTGGATTGGCAGCATTGTCTTGCACAGCGGTAGAAAAAAAAAACCACGATCAAGTTTCAACATTTTTTAGAAAAACAATAAAGGATGGTGGCAAAGACATGAACAGAAAATCGGCAATTTTTGAAATTCTTAATTATGAAAATTGGGCATTATATTTTACCCAAAATTCTACTTCTAATTTTGTTTCTAAACCTCAACATTTTCATATTAAAATGTAACTTCATTTAATCCTCCTGTCACCAAAACCTATTTTTTTTGATTTCCGATATTATACAGTAGTATAAATCTTATCAAATTATTATAAATAAATTAGAGCTTGAATAATCTAACTGAATAATCTTTAAAAGATTCACTACTTAATCGGTTTTCATATCCCGGCCATGTCAGCAAAGTGAAGATTGGTTTTGTTAATATGCCAACCAATAGAAAGCTTTTACTCTTAATTATGTGACCAATGCAACAGTACAGTAGCAGAAGTAAATGTCCCATCATTTTTTTTATATTGTTTTATTATAATACTTTTTTAGGAAGTTCGTGTAACTTATCTTGCTATGAAAGGTGGATGAGTCTTCTAAGCAAACTTGAAGTATTCAAACCACACTATAACATATTTATTTAATCCCTGTTAATCCCACACCCTTGTGTTGCTACTTCTTAGCAAAGTTACGTTTAAAAAACATATAGTTGGAAGTATAAAACCACCAAGTTAACTAAA